CGTGAGACGGACTGTCTGGGGCTGTCTACGTTTATTTTTATATCGTTTGAATTTACAAAAGTGGCTCACTTGATTTTGACGCAATTTCTGTTTTGCACGTTAACTTCAAGTGATTGACCAATGGGGTTGTTTGCTTCGTTTCTTGCCGTTTTTATTGGTTGAAGTTTTTTTTAGGTACGTAGGCGTACGATGTGGACTGTGCTTTTGTTAGGGTTGGAAAGGTAAGGATATTGGACGAGTCCACACACTTTTTGAATGACCCCTTTTCCTCACTAAGTTCACTCACGCAATATTTTTACTTTGCTTGTGGATTCGGTAGTTTTGTGTAGTGTCTGGCACAAGGCAACCTTTTAATAAACCAGCACTGCACGTTACCGGGTCCGCAACAAGGTTTTTGGAAACTGAAAGAGTTCATGCCAGGCAATATTACGAAAAGGTTGGAAATTGCGAGCATGTGCGTTGATTTTATTTACTGCTGTGATAACATTGCTCGGTGATTGGTGAAGTCGACCACATAGATTTTTTGAGAACAGGTGTTGACTGTGGATTACACGGTGCACTGTACACCAGGTAAGGCTTTTCTTATTAAAAAACAAAAACTGAATGCCACAATGACGACCTATCATCGATGCTGTCCCATCTGTTGCCAAGCAAGAATATTATTAAATGGGATGTCTTTCTCTGTGAAATAAAATCAACATAAAATACTGATTGCACCTTTTGTGTTTGTGTCTAGTTGTTATGCAAATAATAGCTCTTGAACCTACCTTTTTTAACAAAATGAACATAACTTAGCTAAAAAAATAGACATTAAAGAAAAGGTTTGTTTATTTACACCGTTTTAGTAATTATATATTGGTTATTTATTTTATATATTTTCATGTTTATTATTGATTTTTGATGATCCTTCAAAATAAAGATTCTGATGTTTACATCTTTTAGAAAGATATCCAGGAACTACGCGTAGTATTTTTTAAATTCAAAATAAATACTCCAGTGTTTATTTTTTATTTTTAAAAATGCAAGAAAATTAAGTAAAATATTCCATCTTGGCATATTTTACTTTTATTTAATTTGAGGTCCTTATCAAGGTAAATGCAGAAATTTTATTTTGTAATACAGAGAAGTAAAATGAAGGAAAAATATCGTTAAGTTTTCAAATTTAAAATTTAAGAACGCTCTGAAATATTCTTAAATGCTAGCTGCGTAAGTAATTATTGCCAAAATATATTATTTTCATTTTATTTTGTTTAATTATCTATGTATTAATTTACTTATTTTAAATATTTAAAAGTTTTCAGCTGTATAACGTTAAGAAAAAAGTGGAAATGACGCAACAACAAATGGAGATAAGACATAATTAAGGTTTTTATTTCCCGTGATTTACAAGGTTCGGTCGTTTTAGAATATCGTATAGTAGTCGTGGGCGACTGAAAGCTCGTTCAGATTAGAACACAAGGTAGTAGTCGAGATAGACTCATGGGAGAAATATTCCACGAATTATCGCATTGTAGTAGTCAAGAGTTAGTATCCGCTGCTTCTGGTTATGATTAAGAAATATTATTTTACTTAATAACAATATTTCCTAAGAATTTTAAAAGATTTAAAATTTTATAAAATTGTAAGAAAAAATGAAAAGAAATCTTGTAAATTTCATTTATCGTTGAAATTTTTTTCTTCAGACAATATTGTCTTTAAGATATATTATTCATAAAAGCAATTAAAAGCTTCTCTAATCAAATAATGTCCGAGTTTTATTGCGTTTTTAATTTTTCAATTCAGAAGAGATTTTCAGTTAAGACCGGGTCCGATTTTGCAAATTCTGTGATTTAAATTCTTCAAATAATTCTGCTTTTAACTAATAGAGTCATTAAAAATTATTTCGTTGAATTTCTCAAATTTTCATAAAAGTAAGTAAACACATGTAAAAAAAAAATATTTTCACCAAAATTTTCTGAAAAAAATTCAAAAATAATTTCATTCGTTTTGAATAGGTCCGGATAATTTTGTTAAAATCCGACATTTATTTGATTTTTGCAAGATTTTTCAAGTTAATGTATCTGTTATAGTCCAGAATGATTATGATATTTCATCATTCTAAAAATAAACTTGCCATCAGTGATGATAAAAAAAATAAGGATATTTCATCATTCTAACCCTCATCATTATAAAAACGACCATTCCACCACAAGAAGTTAGTAGAGAACAGTAAACTAGGATACCTGTAGCAGTAGTCAATTATAAGTAGCAGTACAGAAACACACGTATAGCCAGCGTTCGGTGAAGATCGAAAACAGACGATTTCGAACGGCATCCTCACAAACGAAATACTCAGAACCAAACCAAGTAAGCACTGACTTTTAAACAAAAGAGACACTGGAAATCTTTTTACACACACCATACCAATATTCTGTAATTCACATCACAAAAAGGAAATACAATTCTTGTTATTTATGTCAACATGTGTCTCAAGTTTTTATTGTTGTTATCGTTGTACGCTTTATGCATTTTAATTTCATGTCATTTAATATCTACTCCGTTACAGTCAACAAATAATAACAACGAGGAAAATAAAACATCAACACCAAACTTGACTACCCCGTTACATATCTAACCGCAAAAAAGAGGTTAAAAGTTAGTACAACCGCTGATGAAAAAAAAAAGTTTTTTTTAATCAAAATTTCGAATGTTCTAAAAAGGAGTAAAAAAATTAATTAAATAATCAGAAAATACTTTGATCCTTCGTTTTCTTAATTAAGATAACGATTTTGACGATAAAACTGTTTTCATTACGTTTGGATCATGCTTTCACCACAGTATGTTGATTTGTCGGCGTTTTCGTAGAGGTACCTCTGTAATTTATTTTTATATAAGCTTTTTACTTAATTCAGTGCGTTCAAATAATGGAGCTCTCGCTATTTAGTTAGCAGCAGTAACAAGCCGAAGAGGACCTCCAATCTGTGGTTGACTGGGTCAGGAAACGGCTTGTAAACTTTAATGCCCCCAAAACGAAACTGCTCTCATTTACTCACAATAGAGAAACCTCGTTGCCTACTATCAGCATGGCTAATACGCAACGTCACGAGATCTTTTCTCTGCGCCTTCTTGGTTTCAGGTTTTCCCCTGATCTGCGGTGGAATAACTATATTCAATTAATAGCTACATCTACTACAAGGAAAGTTGGTTCTCTATGTCGTGACAGAAGGATTTTTTTTTTTTGTCTGAATCCATCCTACAAATTTACCATTCGTCCTTGCATTGAATATATGGTCTGGTATCCGGCTGTTCATCTCGATGTTCTCGACAAAATCCAGAGACGGATATGCATTGTGATAGGTCCTGACCTGTCATCTCGACTCCAGTCACTTTCTCAGACGTGATGTGGTTTCCCTTTGTCTTTTCTACAAATATTTTCATGGCATCTGCTCTGACGAGCTATTTTCACTGGTGTCCCAACTGCATGAATTTAAGCGTGCTACTAGGTTGGCATCTTGGTCCCACCCTTTTACTGTTGAAACAGTTAAATGTAACCGCCTCTTCTAATCCAACCGCCTGGTTCTCTCACAATTCCCGACTGTGGAATTCCCTTCCTCTTGCTTCTCTGATAACTATAATCTTCAAAAATTTAAATGTAATGTCAATCAACATCTTCTGATGCTTTGAACTTGATCCCCGTCCTTCTCTTTATCCTTTCCTCAAACACCCCCCTCTTTACTTTTACTTTCACTCTTTGTTATCCCTTGTGTGCTAATGGCACACCCGCCTTGCTTGGGGTGAAATGCATTAAAAAATGCTTAAAAAAATATAACTGTGATACTATTTGCGGTTGCCGAGGTAAAACGGAAGAAAGTTTTGTTAAAACAAAGTGTTATGTGCTGAGAGACATTGAAACGAGAAGGATTAATACCAAAAACCCATGGGAAGAATTGAGGATTTAATTCACACATAAACGACTTTGAACAATGGAAAAGTGACCCAGACTTAGGGGGGGGGGCAATGTTGAGTGACACACAGCTGCAAATGCAAGCTGTAAAGTGAAAATTTCATTTTTTGTAAACAACGAATCTGGAGTTGATTCTCCTGATAGAAAGTTGTGTCGAAATACCAGGAGCGGGGTGGATAAGTCACCCACGTTCACTGAGATTTAGTGAGAGGTAATAATATGAGAGGGGGAAGAGAGGGAATTCCTCAAAGTTCCATAAGCCAAAGAGGATTCACCGAAATGCTCATACCTCGCCATATCCACCATGCCATTTGGGGCGAATGTCCATAAATACGAATGCGTGAAACGAATTAGGCAGAAGAAAGAAGAGACGTCCACGTGATTATCTGCTGATGAAAGCCTTCGACTTAGGCCATGTGTCAAACTTTACCAAAACAGAGCAAACCAATCTTTACCAGGTCAACAACGATAACATCACTCCTGATTTAGATGCGGGTTAGGCTGATAATTAACTGTATGCGAACTCTGATATAAACCAATTATTGTACGGCGAACTGATATGAAAATAGTATTTACTTTTGTTCAGTTTATTCGAGTGTTATTTTTTCTCTGTACGTCATCGCCCTGCTTGGACCAGCCCAACACGAAGATACCTGCGACGATTCGATCTTGGCTGCCTAATGATCAAACTTAAATCACAATGTGAGATAAGGTTAGCTCTGGATTGAAGCGGCCACTTAAGCGACCAGCCGCGGTGTATGAAGTCTTGGACGACCGGTGAGGATGTTGTACAATTACATTTGGTGCCATGACCAGTATTCGACTATGAAAGACCACAGTTTGGCGTGGATTTGACCTCGGTTGACTACGACCAACCCAAGAACCCAGACATCGGAAAGCAATGAGATAAAAGGAGTGAGAACGAATGCCGTAATTTTTTTTGTACTCTTGATGAAGTGACAGTGGCCCAAGAACAAGCGACAACAAGTGACACTTTTCGGGTTTACCCTGAAATTTCTAAAAATTTTTTATTGTTGCCTCTCGCCAAAACGATTTGCTATTTTTTCGATTGTTTTCCGATTTTGCTCGATTTGAATTGATTTTTTGACATGAATGACCACAGGTCAAAGAGGTCGGAAGTGTTACATATCGAGAATGAGAGGGCAGGCAACAATTCGTTAGTAGCATGAGGGAATTGCTGGTGGGGCCAGGGTCGCGACTTTTCTGGGGAACCCGAAAGAATTGAAGGATTGGTTAGCAACAATCGGCCATTTTGCCGCCAACTGCCTCCTATAGAAATAGACAGGGTAGACAGAGAGAGAGCTGCTTGGGTGCACGGTGGCGTAGACGAAGACAGCCGTGGACTCCGCGCTGCAGTAATGATGAAAAATCATTGTCAGAACCCTTGTCTGAATGACATCGCTCCAGAGGGAGGGAGGGTATCCAAGGTGTTTTCCCTGCTGACTCAAGAGGAGGAACTTTCCTGTGAGGCTGTAGAAATAGGAAAATCAATGACGGCGTTGATAGATACGGGGGTGTCGGTGTCCTTAATAAGAGAGGAGCAGTACAAAAGCCTGAAGTTGCAGGGTGGGTTAAGGAGACCCGATATAGAAATTGATCAGGCGGACGGGAAGCCAATGAAGATAACAGGAATGGTAAGGCTCCCAGTAAAGATAAGAGAGACAACCAAGCTCCACAAATTCTATGTGGCCCCGGATTTCTGTGGAGAGATGTCCCTGGGTGGAGATTGGTTTCAAGTTCAACCTCTCAGTGTTGACAGTCAGTGGTGTAGATGTGCCATTAGGGAGCACTCCAGATAGGTCAACGTTAATGGTGGTTGATGAGGACATAAAATTACTACCAAGGACAGCTGTAACAAGTAAGAGTAGGTTGGTGACAGAGAAAGAGGTGAAGAAAGAAGTTCTTCATTTAGTCCCTGTAGAGGAATATAACCCAAAAAAGGCTAAGTGGCCTTGTATGAGTCCGTGGTGGACGCAGCAGAGGTAATACCTGTTATGTTGGCTAATCAGGATAACAAGACAGTTAAAATAAGAAGTAAAAGTGGGAAGAGGTAGGAAGGACTCTACTATTAAGGTCCATACAAAGGGTAAAATTCAGTGAAGAAAGAACAGACTCAGAAAAATGAACGAAATGATGTCCGCTGCGATGAAGTCTTGGGTTCTGGCATGAAACACCTTGAAGACCGGGAAGTGTTGAATGAATGGGAGGAGAAAGATAAAATACCTCTCTCCCAACTCCGAAAGCAGTTGAGAGAAATAAAACACAGATAAGAAAGATAAAACAGTGGCCGACATATTGGACCTGTTGTGAGGCAGTGGTAAAAGAACTTGGTAATGCAGACTGATCGTTAGGGAGCATTCTCATTGCTGATGTTGAAGAATCGAGGGTAGATGCAGAAGGCAGTCATAGAGATCATCTGGGCAGATGTTGCCCCCCCTGAAGATAAAAGGGGAATGATGAAATCTTAGTGAAAGTAGGAGGGACAAAGAGCGTCCGGAAGTTCTATGTAACACCTGATTTATGTATGGAAGTAATTCTGGGAGAGAATTGGCTTCATCGCCATGGTACCATTAAAGAGTCTAACCATGCTGCATGTGGTAAATGGTAAGGATCCTATAGGGGGACCCAATTGAAGGGTCTATGACAGTGGTGGTGGTGGAAGAAGACGTAAGATCACCACCAGGGCAGCAGTGTCAGGTAAAGGTAGGTTGGTGACTGGGAAAGGGATGGAGTAAGAGGATCTCCAATTAGTTTCTGTAGAGGAAATGGCCATGAGAAAAATGAGGTAACCCTGTATGAGGACCATAAGGGGGATGATGATTTTAGCTTGTCAGGCGAAGAGGAACAGAAGGAATAACTACGCTCTGCTACTTTTACCGGGATATCCACTGCTAACCTGAACTACGCTTCCCTACTGTCTTCGAAATATTCACTGCTAACCTCTGGATTCTATACTCAAAGACGACCGTCATCATGAACAACATTGGTTATGAGCGCAGACCACGACTATATTTTGACGGGAATGAATCGAGATATGAATTATGGGAAACAAAGTTCTTAGGCTACCTCGGAATACAAAAACTCCATGACATCATCCTTTGCGAAGAGGACCAGAAGGGGGATGATGATTTTATGGAAAATAATGCAAACGTGTTCGCTGAATTAATACAATTCCTGGATGACAGGAGTTTGTCTTTGATAATGAGAGAGGCCAAGGACAATGGACGGCAAGCCCTACAAATTTTGCGTGAACACTACTTGTCAAAAGGTAAGCCTAAAATTATTGCTTTATATACTGAACTAACCGCGTTCAAGAGACGAGAAAATGAATCTGTAGCAGATTATATTATACGAGCTGAGAATGTCACAAATGCCTTAAAAATTGAAGGTGAGACTATCTCAGATGGGCTGCTAATAGCCATGATCTTAAAGGGTTTACCACCGATATTCAAACCATTCACGACAGTTATAACTGAAAAAGATAAACAATTAACTTTCACTGAGTTTAAAATTGCGTTACGTAGTTATGAAGAAACTGAAAAAAATGGACCAATAATAATAATACAAAAAAAAATCGTTTGTTAACGTTGTGGTAAAGTCGGCCATGTGCGGGCAAAATGTCAATTTTATGCACGGAATGATTTTTGTAAAAATGTAAAAACTTTTTCGAATGGGCGAACATATGCCTTTTCGTTTGGATTGGATACTGTAGCCAGTTATTATAATTCTTACCTCGTCAATACGGATGCGACAAATCATGTAATTACAGATGAAACAAAATTTATTATTTTTGATCCAATTTTGAGCCCGACTCACATTTTATCGAGTTAGGTGACGGGACCAGAGCTAATAATTTAGTTTTAAAAAGAGGCGATGCCTGTATTTATTTACGAAATACTAAAGGAAATATTTGTAAATGTTTATTAAAAAGGGCTTTATATATTCCTAAATTTAAACAAAATATTTTCTCGGTTCAGTCTGCTGTTAAAGTCAATTTTCACCGAGACAATTCAAAGTTAATATATCCAGACGGAACTGAATTTAATATACAGCAAAATGGACGTTTGTATTATTTGAAAAGTATTAAGTCTGCGAAGACAGCCACGCACGACTTAAGGACTTGGCATAAAATATTAGGCCACTGTAATAATTCGGATGTTAAAAGATTACAAGAACACGTCACTGGAATGAAAATTACATTTCCAAAGGGCTTACAATATTGTGACACGTGTATTAAAGGGAAAATGACGAAATATAGAAATCGGGGTCGGATCCCAAAATCAACAGATATCTTGTTCAGAGTTTATTGCGACTTAGCGGGTCCAAGGTATCGGCACCTATTCATATGTATTAAACTTTGTTGACGAATATTCAGGACGTATGATATACTTTCTGAAAAACAAATTTGATACCCTGCAAGCTACAAAAATCTATTTATTCGATATCTCCCCGTATGGAAAATTAAAAAAATTAGGACAGATAATGGTGGAGAATTTACTTTTGATGCTTACAAAAACCTAATAAATGAAGGCATTAAACATGAGAAAACTTGTTCTTATTCTCCACACCAGAACGGAGTTGCTGAACGTAGTTGGAGGACGCTTTTTGAAATGGCTAGATGTTTGCTAATAGAATCAAAGTTACACAAAAATCTGTGGGTTTATGCATTAAATACAGCCGTATATATAAGAAACCGTTGCTATAATAGTAACATTAAAAAGACTCCTTACGAAACTTATACGAACTTCAAACCCAATGTCAGTGATATGCACATTTTTGGTAAAATTTGCTATACATATGTCGACCACGGGGCAAAACTAGATCCAAAAAGTGAAAGGGGCATATTTATTGGGTATGACAAGACAAGTCCAGCCTATATGTTTTATTTCCCACAAACTAAAATGATAAGGAAGATCAGATGCGTCAGATTTACAGATTCCTTTGAGCCAGGGGGGGAACCCGAAGAAAAGAACATTAACTGCGAGGAGCTGGTCCAACACGAACTAGTATGGCCTAATTATGGGCCTATAAGTAGAAAACCCGTTCAAAATCCACAATCCGAGGAAGGTGGGGACAAATTCCGCGTTATCCGACCAGAAATAGAAGAAAGCCAGACTATTTTGGAATGGGTCAATGTAATATCTGTGACATTGACTGTTGCTATTCGGTACAATGTATCCCAAAGAACTATCAAGAAGCCATACATTCTGTCAATTCCAAACGGTGGGTAGCTGTCATGCAAAAAGAAATTAAATCTTTAGTATCAAACGACACTTTTGAATTAAAAAAGGCCCCGGATGATAAAAATATTATCGGCAACCGTTGGGTTTATACTGTAAAGCGAACTGAGGATGGATCGCCAGTGTATAAGGCTCGTTTTGTAGCTAAAGGATTTTCGCAGATATACGGGGAAGATTATGTAGAAACATTCAGTCCAACAAAAAACATGACAGCAATTAGAATTTTGATGCAAATGGTCGCACATTATGGTATGGATATACACCATATGGATGTTAAATCAGCTTATTTGAATGCTGCCATCGACTATGAAATATACATAGAACCGCCAGAAGGTTTTGAGGCAGGTGATAATTATATATGGAAACTTAAAAAGTCACTGTATGGACTCAAACAGAGCGGAAGAACATGAAATAAATTAATCCATTCTTATTTAATTGAACAACAATTTGAATCCTCCCAAGTTGACCCATGTCTGTACACGAGAACATTTAATAATGAAATATTAGTAATTCTGGTTATTTAGGTCGACGATATGTTAATTGCATCAAAGTGTGAGGCCGCTCTATTAAAAATCAAAAATTCCCTAGAAATAAGGTTTAAAATGACCGACTATCATGGTTTCTTAGAATACAGTTCGAATTTAAAGGCAACACTATTACAATGAATCAATCTAGATACATCGAAAGGCTCTTATCTAAATTCAGCATGCAAAATTGTAAAACACGAACTACTCCATGTGAAATGGATTTAAACACAATTATGAATAATGAAGATGGTATAGCGGCGTGTGAGAAAGAATACAGAACATTGGTTGGAAGTCTTATTTACATGATGACATCAACCAGGCCAGATATCTGCTATACGGTTACTAAGTTGTCCCAAAACTTAAATAAACCGGGGACTGTGCATTTAACAAGAGCTAAGCAAGTCTTACGTTATCTAAAGGGAACTAAGAGTCGGTGCCTAGTATTTCGACAATCAGATAAACCATTAAAATTGGAAAGATTTTGTGATGCTGATTGGGCAAACTCACCAGATCGTAAAAGTATAACAGGCTATTGCTTTAAGCTAGCAGACGGTAATCCAATAATCAGCTGGAAATCTAAGAAACAGGGAATGATTTCACTTTCTACTTGTGAAGCAGAATATGTTGCATTGTCAAAAGCAACACAGGAGGCTATTTTTCTTAAATTACTAATAAAAACAATTACAACATTGGTAATAAGTGAGCCAATAATTATTTACTGCGATAATCAGGCCAGTATTGCTTTGGTTAGAAATCCAATAATACATCAAAGATCAAAGCATATCGATATTAAATATCAATTTGTTAGGGATCAAGTACAAATTGAATACGTTCAATCGGAAAATAATATGACGAAATTGAAATTACGGGCTTTCACTTCTGCAATATTTGGTACTGACTTATAAGGTCATTAGTCCTTATTATTACTTATTAGTCCTGGGTAAGACGTAAAACTGCATCCATTAGTCCATTAGTTATTGTCTTAAGAAACGTCAGTTCAGTTTTTGGTATGAATGTGAGTCCTTAGTTTCAGGGTATAAATGTAAATAGCCCAATCCTCCTCAAATGATCCTCAGTGATAGTGACTGTTTTAATTGGTCCCAGCTATGGGTAAAATAATTTTTTTTTTCACTTTTTTTTGTTGTGGTGATCACAACCCAAATTTGTAATATTGTTGTTAATATTTATTAACCTGAAGTACTTAACTGTGGACAAATTGATATGACTAATTTTTGTGGATATTAATTTTCTTTTAAAAAAAAAAAAAAAAATAAAAATAAAATTTATTTTATGAATGCTAAAAAAAAAAAAATTATCAGAATATTAAAGTATTTGTTCCATATTAATATTGACTTTAATATTTTGAAAGAAGATTCCATAATATCTCCAAAAATAAGTGGGGGTTGCAGTTTTTTGTGTATATTATGTACTAGTGAGCCAGTCCAAATAACTTGACTCATTTTATAGTCCACCAATAGAAGGTTAACCAATCAGAAGACATAGAATATTCAATCCGTCGTGTATAAAGGCGGCCATTTTGTTTACTCTATCCGAATGTCCAGTGCCAGCTTCTCAGGCAAAGAGGAACAGAAGGAAGAACTACGCTCTGCTACTTTTACCGGGATATCCACTGCTAACATGAACTATGTTTCCCTACTGTCTTCGAAATATTCACTGCTAACCTCTGGATTCTGTACTCAAAGATGACCGTCATCATGAACAACAGATGCAAAAATATGGCTGTAAATAAAGGAATAGATGGATTCAGTGCCGGCACACAATGATGCTGGGTTCATTTGAAACCCTATTCAGTAACGAACAGTAAGGTTGGTTGGAGAGGATGGAGGTGTGGAATGCGTGTCATGGAAGATAAAAGAATTTATTTGCTGATGCTACCATTCAGTTGGTGGTGGTGGTGGTATGAGACATGACTTTTGGGGCAAATGCACCGCACACCTTCCGAGCCAATCAGCCTGCTGAAGGCTGATTAAAAGAAGGATGGGAAAACAAAGAGAAGGAGGCAGTAGTAGTTAAAATGGAACTAGGAGAAAGACTTTGATAAACTTTGCATGAAGAGAAAGAAGAAAAGTTTTATAAAAATGTTGCATGATAAACTTTGCATGATAAATAAAAAAAAAGAAAAATGTAGCAAGACCAGTAGAAACATTGCATGACAAATAGTATACTAGTAGATTTGGGTGTGAGATGTTATTTACTAATAAATGACAGGAGAGGTACAGGAGAAATGTGATACTATTTGCTGTTGCCACAGTAAAACGGAAGAAAGATCTGTTAAAACAAATTGTTATATGCTGAGAGACATTGAAACGAGAAGGATTAATACCAAAAACCCATGGGAAGAATTGAGGATTTAAACAACTTTGAACAATGGAAAAGTGAGCCGGAGGGGGTGGATAAGCCACCCACACTCACTAAGGAAATTTAGTGAGAGGTAATAATATGAGGGAGGGGGGAGAGGGAATTCCTCAAAGTTATGACGTAAGCTGGAGGGGATTCACTGAAATGTTCCTACCTCAACATACCTCCCATGTCAGTTTGGGCAAATGTCCATAAATACGAATACATGAAGCAAATTAGGCAAAAGAGAGTCAGAAGAGACAGAGACAAGACCAGAGACAGAAGAGACATCCATGTGATTATCTGCCAATGAAAGCCTCAAACTTCAGCCTTGTTCCAAACTTTACCAAAACAGCAAACCAAGCTTTACCAGGTCAACAAAGATAGCATCAATTCTGATTTAGATGCGGGTTAGGCTGATAATTAACTGTATGTGATCTTTGATATAAACCAATTATTGTATGTAGGACTGATATAAAGAGTATTTACTTTTGTTCAATTTGAGTTATTTTTTTTTTCTCTTTATGTTATTGCCCTACTTGGACCAGCGCAACATGAAGATATCTGCGACGATTTGATGTTGGCTGCCTTATGATCAAACTTAAATCACAATGTGGGATAAGGTTAGCTCTGGATTGAAGTGGTCACTTCAGCGATCAGCCATGATAATGGAAGTCTTGGACGAATGATGAGTGTGTTATATTATTACAAACAAATATTCTCTGATATTGTAAACATCTAGAACTTGTTTTAATTTGTATGTTTGATTTATCTTTATTTGTCTGTATTTTCCCATCTCTTTTCATCCGTACTTTAACTCCTATTTTCAGTGGATTGAGATAGTGAGCACCATGTCTCCTGCCATAGCATATTTTGCTTCTTTTTGTATACAGCATTTTTCCCTTTACCTTATTTAAATTTGGCCATTTGTTTGGATGAGTGGGAATAGTTGTTTTAATTCTTCTGCTCATTATGAGTTCCAATGGGCTCATTCCTGTTGCTGGAATTGGAGTGCTTCCATATGACATTGCTTTTGATTTTATGTTTTACCAGAAATAATAAATTCCTGTTATGATTGGTTTTGAAGAAAAACTTAAAGAAATGGAATAATGTGTAGTATTTGAGATGCTTTAATAGGTACTTTTTCAGTATATCATATTTCTTAAAGTGGAATTCTTTGTTTCTAATTGTCAGTTTAAAGTGAGGTAATTGATAAACTAAATGAAAGCAATATAAACAGTATAAATAAATTTATGCCCAACCCTGAAATTAACATTAAAAAAGGTATGCAAGCTTTTATAAGTGAGCATTCATCTCAGCATATCACTGGCTTTTAGTCTAAGGATTGAAATAGAAGTAATCAAAATTACATATAGGCACCAAAAATATTTTGATGGTCATAGAAAATTAATATAAGGTTCCCTTTATGCTGAAAATATCAGAAATAGCATTTAATCACATAAATATTAACCAATGAAAAGAATGTTGAAAAATATTTTATATTAATGGGGTTAAACTTAACAAGAATGAATACATTTTAATATATGAAACCATAGTTGTAAAAATACATTTTTATTTTGCTGGTCAAAACGTTTTATCATAAGACATTAATTAGTTGACAAATAAGCAAATTTTAATGTTAGATTTAGTACCACTTATCTACTTTTGTAGCGGTAATTTATTCAATTTAACATTAAAATCAATAAAGTATTTCAAGTACATGTCCAATATTCTACAACTGAGTTCAATGCAATTGAAATATCAAGTAACTTTAAATTACCAGAACTATGATAAAAGTACCTAAAAGTAGATATCAGATTGATCTTAATTTTAATACATCTGCCAAAGATACTTTGAATCCTAAATATTTCAATAAAAGATTTCCTAAGAAAAATTTAAATATTTTATCAACAGAAATCCATAACCTGTAAAATTCCTAAATAAAATGATTCTTTTTTAAAAATCTTTCAAAATTACAATAACTTGAGAAAGAGAATGTTAGTTTTAGTAATTTACAAACATTATTTGTTTTTCAGGTTTCAGTTATTTTAGTCATGCATTTAAAAAAATTCAACACCAAAATAACTTCATAATCAGAATTTATTTTACATACATAAACCCAATATTATATTCTTAAAAACAAAGACCAAAATATGATGGCCATTAATAAGCCTAGTTTTAAAACATCTACAAAATAACCATAAAACTAAATTTATAATGCTTGTAGCAATGTTCAATATAAGAATTTTTAAGAATATTTCAAAAAGAAAATGCCAATTTTAAAAAACGTGAAATAAATGAACATAACACAAATATTTGAAATTTACAACTTTATTAATTTTTTTGATATTATTTTTTAATATTAAACATTCTTCATAGATGTAGTTATTAATGAATTTGGATCACACCTGATAAATATGTTGTTTACTATGGTTTTTTGATGTGTTTTCATTAGAAAATCACTGCATCAATATAAGCATGGTGATACCTTTTGTTAACTTTTCAATTTCAGTTGCCATTTCAGATACCTGGAAAATAATTTAAAAATAAATCATACCAAATTCAATTAATGTTTTGGCTTGATACTATTTTACTTATGAAACTACTAATATCATTTCAGAAAATTTTCTTAGTTATGATGCTTTTATATGGAATTAAAAGGATTGGTTATATTTAAAAAAAATTATATCAGTGTAAAAAGTAATAATTTTAATTAACATAATTTAATATAAAGATATAAAAAATTGTGTCAATGAAAATAATTACATAAAAGTATACTTTAGAAAAAATGATTCCTTCATACTACTAATAAAGTGATGTGACTTGTGCTTTTAAAGATTAATAATTAAAAATAATCTATAATAAAATTCCAATAACTTTTCTCCTTTTGAAAACATGTTTGTATGAGGCTTATTATTTATGTACAAAATCAAAGTCATGCATTTTCACTAGCACTTAATTTTATTAATTTGTTATTTTTAATATTTTTTCTGCAGTTTCAAAGAGTAGAAATTCTTCAAAGCTACTGTTTCTGTTACAGAAAAAGGATGAATTTTTTAAATTTAAAGCAAAAAAGCAAACAGTATTTAGAATAAATAATAGAATCATATATATATATATAAGTTCTAAATATCTTTTTCAGTTAAATAGAACCAATAATTAACAAACCTTTTCAGCATTTTGTTTCTGCACATCTTCAGGGACTTTAATTTCATAATCAGATTTAGCCATACTCTCTTGAAGTTTTGTCAACTGCACATTCAGTTTTTCTTTCTTTCCTTCTAACTTGGAAATCTCTTTATTGACATCAATAAGACCCTGCAAAAATTAATCACTAATTACAAAGCACCAAAACTGTGTCAAAAATAACTTATCAATATAATATCTATAATATCAATATTATCAATATAATATTATCAATAATAATTCATGGTTCATGACTTTCAAGTAAAAACATTACAAATGAAAAGCTGATTTGCTGTTGTTCACAGACTTTGCATTTTAATGTATCTGTTTATGTCTGCATGTGCATGATCAACTTATATGGGCTTTGTGTCATTTAATGTACACACAAGTACATGCAAACAATTTGAATGAGCTTGAAATAAAATATTGAAATAATACTGTGGTATTCTGAATACTTGTCTGTCATCTCTGTAAAATGTTTTCTTCTACTAATCTCCCTTGGACTTTCTATTGATAACCTTCCTTGGTTGTCATTCCCTTGATGTAAAATGTAGCATTTTGTTAGTTCATTAAAGTCTTCTAACAGTCTCGCGCATTCTTGTCATCACTTTAATGAACTAATAAAGCATAAGCTTGCCATAAACCAAGTATGGATAAATTCCACCAACCAGAATGTTTGAATGTATCATTGAACTCTCCTTTAGCTGACAAGGATTTTGCATATTGCTACTGTACTTTCTCTGCTTTTATACATTCTATCCAAGCTAACTATTCCATCAGATACAATGCTCTTGTCAACTTTGTTACTCACACAGTGTATGAATAAATTGCAGTGTGTGATGACTAAGGGTAAGCTATACAAATTTTAAAGATGCTTTAAATAAAACCAAAAATTGAAGTGTTTGCAAAATATATTTTAGCTACTAAGGAACAAAAAGGAGAGACAATAGACAAGTATGTACTACAGGTTGAACTACTCAGTGAAGATTGCAATTCCAAAGCTATAACCTCCTTACAGATTCAAGATGACTGGATCAGAGGTGCTTTTATTAATGGCTTATGCTCACATACTAGCACTTGCTAGAAAATAAGTCTCTTGAGGAAAGTGATCCAGCCTTGAGAGATGTAGGTAGGTGACCAGATGAATTGGAGCTGCCCAGCAGCAAGTGACAGAAGGACTGAGAGTGAGGCATCAGGAATTGCCAAGGCCAGTGAAGTTAGGAAGATAGCAGCCCCCACCCCTCTTGAAGCTGAAGGAAGGATCCCTTGTTTAAGTGAGAAATCATGTTGTTGCTACGTCCCAACCAGAGAGTCTTGAAAAACAATTGTCGTCATTTTTTTGTTGAAAGCAATCACAGCTGAGAAGACGAGCATGTGCATATAGCAAGTTGGTTATATATGCAAATACACTCAACCTTGGATGTCATCACAGGTGCAGTGACCAACAGACAATTGGAGAACATTGTCACAATTACGCCACAAATGGCATCACAATCTGTTGCGGTGACAATGACATAGATCCTGAGTCACCATGTAGATAATAAAATTAAAAAAGAAGCAACATGTAAGTTGAGAAAAAAAGTGAACCATTGACTTTAAAAAGGAAGAAGGAAAAACAACGTGGAAATAAGAAAGAAAAAAAAAAAAAGAAAAAAAAAGGAGAGTGAACTTTTTTGTTTGCACACGTCAAGGAGAGAAAGACAGAAGGGGAAAGCAGATGAATACAGCAAAAGAAAAAACGATTAATAGAGGTAAGAGTTTTTTTTAATCTCCCCTTGCCTTTTGTCAAATCTTGCCAGCCATTATGTGAAAATATATAGAAAATAGGAAGGAACCGGTTAGGTAAATAATCCAAAGTCCCTTAGTATTTTAGTTATTATTTTTAAAAAATAGTGCTCGATACAAAAGTAGAGCATAAATATAATTATTTAAAAATGATTCCAAATCGCTACATAAGAGGTCTCATGTTTCAAAACAAGAGCCGAAAACTTCAATATAATCCTTTAAATTAAATTGAGTTGAAATTAAAATGGGCTCCGTTCCATCTTCAAGCGAAATTTTTGTTGGAATAACGTATATCTGAAATTTACTTGTTTTAAAAATTGAAATCAAAATCTCCATGGTAACAGCAAGGGTGAATTGTTTAAATTGGGTAGGCGAGTGTAGGGTGTTAATAATAAGTAGCGGTATAGAGATACTTTCAAGATGTCAAGTCGGGGAAAGGTGGGGGTGTCTAAAATGAAACGTTACGAAAGTTTTTCTTTTTTTTTTTTATATGCACAATTCCCTTTCATAATAAAATAAATAAATAAATCTCCATAGACAAACAAACTAGATGAAGGTTAATACATCTTCCGTTTCATTTTAGACACCCCCACCTTGATCTCAATAGTGCTGGAAGGAATTGAGAGTTTTGCTATGGCTTACCTGGACGATATTCTGGTATTCTCAGAGACACCAGAACAACATTTTGACCACCTCAGACAAGTTTTTGGATGATTGAGAAGGCATGCATTGAAGTTGAAACTGCCCAAGTGCCAATTTTTAAGAAATGAAACCAAGTACCTATGCTTTATAGTGAGTGATGAAGGAATTAAGCCTGACATGGATAAAGTAAAGATGATATAAGAAATGCCTGAGCCAAAGACAGTGAGACAGGTACGAGGCTTTATAGTGGCCATAGGATACTACAGACGTTTTATCCCAGCATTTTCTAGGATAGCAACTCTCTTGATAGCCTTAACGAAAAAGTATGCGAGATTTAAAGGGGCAAGAAACTATCAAAAGGTCTTCCATATCTTGAAAGAACAACTAACTGCTGTTCCATTGCTGACCTACCCAGATCTCTGCAAGCCAATGATACTATACATGGACACTAGTGAGTGATGTATAGGAGCAGTCCTTACTCAGCCATGTCCTGATAAGGATGGTCCAGTGCCTCATATACCAGAGAAAGTACCGATATACTTCCTATCTCATAAGCTCTCAGAGACACAGCAGAAATGGCCAGTGATAGAAAGGGAGGCATACGTTATCATGCATGCCCTCAAAAACTGGATTATTATCTAAGTGGAGCTGTGTTTACCATAAAGACTGACTATAAACCTCTCCAGTATTTGCTGGAAACAGATTGGGCGACCAAGATACAGCAGTGAGCGCTGAAATTAAGTGGATATATAGCAATCATCATCATCGTGCAGCCCCCCTATAAATTCAAATCTTTAACAGCATTCATTAATTGGACAGAAAGCAACGCTGCTACAATTTAAAAATCGCTATATTTTCATATAGTAAATTTTGTGCACTTTTGGGAGAATTGGCTCCCAGAAGTCTCCCCAAAACTCAGGCACTGATTGGTCAGTATCAAACAATCAGATTCTCTGCATGTGGAGAATAGTTTTTATTTGTGCAGATTCCTAATTCGATAGCTACCTATATAAACAGAACAAAAGAGGACCAACACCAGTGAGACTTCAACTGCTACTGGAATCCACGTCAGTCGAAGACATGCGCCCATCTTCTCACTCACTCTAAAATTACATATTCTATCACGCTTACATAATTTTGCATGGCAGAACTGTCTAAAACATTTATAACAGACTAATAACTCATTTCCTTTTCAAAGAACATTGATAAACTTTTATAGTCAAAGAGAGACTACTCTCGTCTGACTCATTGCATCTTCTTTTTTGTATATATTCTTTATTGTACGCTTTGTTGAATATATATATATATATATATATATATATATATATATGATACCTTTGCCTTGTCTCTTGTTCTTATATCAGTTTGGGTTCCTAAACAAAAATTAAATAAATGTGGTGAGAGACCTAGACACGCTACATCTCATTGATAACTCTGACGTTCATTTGGAATTCCGCCACAGATACAACTATAAGATAGAGTACCTGGCAGGGAAAGATAACACCTGTGCAGATTTACTCTCAAGAATACCTAAAGTGTTAGAAGAAGAATCTGTGAGAGTAGAGCCGGGGGTAGACGACAGAGCATATCAAATAGGAGTAATTAACTCCTATAGGTTGAAAGATTGCCTTGTGTTAGAGACAGATGAGGAGGAAAATATACAAATAATAACTGACCCCCAATGGATAGAACAGGTTAAAAAGGAGCAGGTAGACAAAGAAATAGCTACCATCAGAGAAAAAGTGGAGGCAGGAGAAACCTCCAAGTATATGATACATGAAGGGAAGCTGTATTATCTTTCAGGGAGAGAAGAAATTAGATCCAGATTGTATATATCCAAGAATATAAGGCTGAAGATATTGGAACACTGTCATGAGAAGTTAGGCCATATGGGAATTGATAAAACCCATGAATTAATAGGAAGAAATTATTACAGGCCTAGGCTGTATAATGAGGTTACTGATTATGTTAATGGATGTGTGGCATGCCAAATGCAGAGTAGAAGACAGGAATTGGCACCATTGGGAGAGATGGATATTCCAAATTTTCCTTTTGAGAAGATAACCATGGATATGTCAGGACCATATGAAAAAACCTCCAAGGGTAACGTCTACATAGTGAGTTTTGTAGACTGGTTAACAAATTAGATGGAAGCATTTGCAGTACCTGATAAGAAAGCTAAAACTGTAGCAGACTTGAATTAAATTTTTCCCCAGGTATGGCGCGCCTGTGTGTTTGGTGACAGATAATGGGCCTGAGAATGTGAATATGAAGGAAGTGGTAATGAGCTTGAATATAGTGAATATAACAACGTCTCCTTACCACCTTCAGAGTAATGGTAAGGTGGAGAGATTTTATAGGACCTTGGGAGATGTACTGGCTAAATTAGCGAGTTGACAATATTGAGAATTGGGATCTGTACCTGACACAGGCTCTCGCAGTAGTGAGATTTACAATCAATGAGACATCTAAATTCTCACCATATTATATGTTGTTTGGCAGAGATGTGGTCTGGCCGATAGATAATTTATTGAAACCCTGTAGGAAATAAATGGGAGAAGATCATCCTCAGTTGATAATAGAACAACAGCATAGGTTGTTTGTACAGGCCAGAAGGTGAATAAAAAGAGCCCAAAAGAGGAGGAATGAGAGAGTGAATGCAAGTAGGAAGGTAGTAGAATTTAGGGTTGGGGACCTTGTGTACT